AATATATAATGTTTATTATACAAGTATAATATATACTTGTATATATACAAGTATAATGTTGAAGAAAAGAGGTTGGATGAAAAACAATAAATATAATATAACCCCCTTGAGATGAAGGGAAAACACAAACACAATTAAATGATGACAGGTAATTCAGGGCAGTGGCTGTCTTTGAGGAAGAGGTATTAGGAAGGACCTCAGGGGTACTTCAGGGTGCTGGTAACACCTTATTCCTTAACCTGGGTGGTTGCTGCATGTATGTTCATGTTTGATAAGAATTGAACTGTGCAATAATACTTTTCTGTATTATACTTTGACCAAAAAGTTAAGGGGGAGCTACTGAAATAAAATCAAACTACAGAGGAACTGAAACTTTCATCCATAATGAAAATACACTCTAAAGGGAATCAAAAACAAATTTTTTTAAGTGACTGCAAACAACTAAACCAACGAGGTGGTAGACAGACTCAAGAATGAACGTAGAAGTGCAAAACTGAGGAAAATGATGTGAGAAGAGACGCATTTTGTGGAAAACATCGAATGAAGATCTAGCATTAGAATGGCAGGCATTCCTGAAGAAAAAAACAGAAATAACAACCATCCAAGATGTGACAGCAAACTAACCTAGGCTAAAAGGAAGACCCAAGAAATTAATCTGAGAGGCTGACACTGTTACTGGCAAAAATAACGTGAAATACCCACACGCAGACACTTCACGGTGGCCACAGGGAGCCATGAGGACAGCAGCCCCCAACATCACAGCTGCAACGGAAGGGGAGGTTGATTACATCCTAATAGCCCCAAACTGGAAACAACCCGAACATCCATCCTGAATAGAAAGGATACGGAAATTGAGGTATATTTATATACAATGGAACACCATACATTAATGAAAATGAGTCAACTTCAGATAGAGGCAAGCTCAGTTTAAGATTAAGACAGCCTCACAAGATTATTCAATAAGTAGCAATGAAAAAACTCTTTTTAAGAAATTATAATTCATGCCTCTAATAAAATTCCACATGACACACTCTAAAAGTACAAGATACTGCTAATATATTTTGCATGTACATAAACTCCTGGGGTGGATTGTAAAATCCTTGAGCCAGGCAACGAAGATTATACTTCTTTGAATTCCTCCTCCACCCAGAAAGCATTTGGGTAAACACTCCTGTAATGAAAGAATGAATAGGAATGAAAATATGAATGAAGAGGAAGGAAGGAGAGGAAGGAAGGATCTCAACCAATGCATCATTGCTGAGTTTGCCTGTTGGGTGAATTCCAATTCCAGTCTGGCCAACTGGATGCAGCTTTGCCTTAATTCCTCATAAGCTTTGTTTAAAGAGAAGAAACAGAAACTTCCCGGAGCGAAGGGCAACTGGAGGTGGCCTGCATGTTGAGTGGCCTCGTTCTCAGAGGGTAACCTCTCATGGACTGGGCGCCCTTGATCCTTACACTGAAGGAAAGGGGCGTTCCATCCCCAGCGACAAACACTGACCAGGTGAGGGAACCTGCCCTTGGTGATCCATGAGCAAAAGGCTGCAGCCACCCGGGGCAGGGGTGGCACCCAGATAACATCTGCACCCCAGGTGCTGGACCACAAAGGATGCTTCAATATCCACCCGCGTCCAACACATCTACTCCCCGTGCAGTACCACATGTCCCGTGAGGATAAATGAGCGGCCCCGAACAGTAGGATATTAGGGCTTGGCTGACACAAGGCAGCTCCAAGAGGACGGCAAACAGACACAGTCTCGGAAACCGGCTTCCCCGAGAACCAAGCTGCAGTCCTCTGAACTGATTCCAGCCAGTTGGTTTTCAGACCCTGCCCGCCTGTTCTGCACTCAAAACACATCTCACAGCCCTGCCTGGAGCCCCGAGATGCTCGTAACGAAGGGTAAGCAGTCATAACTCAGGGTTCACCTTGGCAGAGATAAATAAGTAAGTAGAAGGAATCTTCCATTAGAAAATAAATGGCCTTTCTTCAGGCTGAGAGCCTGGATTACCCTCCTGAAGGACAAATACAGCATCTTCCCCAGCCGACCTCAGGCCATAAAGTCCAGCTTCACTCAACCAGGGACCCCTGCCCCCCATGACCAGGGCTTCCAGGTCCAAGGCCACCCACCAGGACCTCCAGGGCTGTGAGAATTACCGCCCGCTAGTCTCACCTGCTGAGAAGGCGCCTTTCAGCCCCATTCAGCTGCCTGGGCCTGACAGAAACAACAGGGTGGTGAGCTCTGCTGCCCGCCCAAGAACAGAGTTCAGCCAGCGCCCGAGTGGAGAAGGGCCGAAATCCAGGCAGTGGATCTCTTGAAAAGCCATACGCCCTGACAGTGGCCCAGATTTCACAGAGAAAAAAGCCATCACTCTGAGAAGTCTTGGAAAAATCATCTCTTGATTATTCATGGCAAAGCTGGGAAGGAGGAGGAAGAAAAATGGAAAGCCAGGGTATGTGAAAGCCATAGACGATTTCCAAACTTCACTGGGTTAGGCATCGCAGCCTCTGCAAGAGTTGCCCAACATATATCCGGAGAAAACCATAATTCAAAAGCATACATGCACCCCCCTGTTCACTGCAGCACTATTTACAACAGCCAAGACATGGAAACCATGTAAATGAGCATCGACAGATGAATGGATAAAGAAGATGTAGTATATTTATACAATGGGATATTACTGAGCCGCAAAAAAGAATGAAATAATGCCATTTGCAGCAACATGTATGGACCTAGGGCTTATCATACTAAGTGAAGTAAGCCAGACAGAGAAAAAGAAATATCACATGATATTGCTTATATGTGGAATCAAAAACAATGATACAAATCAACTTATATATAAAACAGAAATAGACCCACAGAGAGAAGATAAACTTATGGTTACCAAAGGGGAAAGGGGGTGGGGATAAATTAGGAGTTTGCGGTTAACTTATACACACTACTATATATAAAATAGATAAACGACCTACTGTATAGCACAAGGAACTATACTCAATATTTTGTAATAACTAATAAAGGAAAAGAATCTGAAAAGGAATATATATACATATGTATATGTATAACTGAAACACTTTGCTACACACCTGAAACTAGCACAACATTGTAAATCAACGATACATCAATTTAAAAAGAAAAAAAAAGAGTTGCCCGAAACACACAGACTTTCTGCCCAAGTCTCATGGCTTCTGCTCCACAGGGCTCCACACAGGAGGCTCCCAGTCGCCCCTGCTAAGTGATGACTAAAACTGGAGGTCCAGCAACCAGCCCCCCTCCCAAATCAATGCACCACTGCCCTGCTCTCCACTAGGTAGGACTCCTTCCCAGGACACAGGAAAGCTTGGGCCTCACCTCACTTTGCCAACACACCCAGCTCAGCCTCGGCCTTGTTTGTGGCCACCAGGATGGGCTCTAGAGGTCAGGGCTCTATTTTCTGCTTCCGTGCCCTTGTCCAAATATCCTCTGGCCAGTTGAAGGCCAGGAGATCTGAGGATATTGCTCTCCTCTCTGGTCCCCAGTCTGTCCAGACCACAGTGAGCAGATGCTGGGCCTAGGGAGTCTGGCTCTGCCCACATCACTCCCCTTCCTCTAATATCCTCCGGCCTCTCCTCCAGACCCAGCCCACCAGCCACTGAGCTCCACTGCTCCATCATGGACGTAAACAAGCCTCTACAGGTAGGCTTCAGAGATACCGCGCACTCGGTTCCAGACCACTGCAATAAAGTAAAGAGCACAGTAAAGCGAATCACCGAATCTTATAGTTTCCCAGCGCGTATAAAAGTTATGTTTGCACTATGCTGTAGTCTGTTAAATGTGTGATGGCATTAGGTCCAAACAAACAATGTACATACCTTCATTTTAAAATATTTTATTGCTAAAAAATGCTAACCGGCATCTGACAATGCAGTGTTGCCCCCCAAACCTTCAATCCGTAAAAAATGCAGTACCTGCGAACTGCAATAGAGCGAAGCGTAATAAAACATGGTATGCCTGTCGAGCAGCAAGCAAACAACGCGGGTGAGAGCAAGAAAGCTATCCGACGGCCCTGTCCTTCGCCTGCCCCGTCTCGTGCCCTTCATGAAGCGAGCCTGTCTTCCCTGGCCCAGAGAGGAATCTCCCCGCCTACCATACCCCTTGTAAGAAATGTGCACAAAGAAATCACACTGGTTCAGACCATTATACTCAAAGCAAAGATATGGGCCATATGGGGTAATTTTAACTTCCCTATTTTAGAAAGTAAACTTAAACTTCTTGTTGTAAAACAGTGTCACCAGGAACACAGCATTTCAAAACAAGAAGGGAAACCAATCTGGCGTGGCCTCAGCAGATGCCTAGGCAAACATCTGGCTGAATCAACCTAATTCTCTATTCTAAAAGACAAAAACAAAAAACCTTCTTCCTTGTTTTAATTTTTTTTTTTAATCAAGGAGTTGATCTCCCCAGGATACAAAGGGGCACTGTCCCTGGATAAATTCAGTCACCGTGTCCCCAGGTTCGTTCGCATCCCAAAGCCAAGGCTACACTGTTACAGAGGCACAGAGGCAATCAAAATAATTGCCGGCCATTCCCACCTAGACACAGCTTCCAGATGATTCTGATCTGGGCAGGATTCCAAGCACCATGGCCACAAGTCAAGAGACGGCCATGAACAAGTCTATGACCTCCCCGCAGCTGGGCCCCACGGTGAATGAGAAGATGGAAACAGGGCAACACTACTGGCGACCAAGATTCCATCAACTGGAAAATACGTGTCACGAGTAGAAGCCTGTCTCCCCACTCAGAGGGTTCCTTGTGGTACCCAAAGGAACCGAAATATTCACCATAGATTTTTCAGGCCACCAGGTCCATCCCACACAAAGAAGTTATTTAGGCAGAAGTGATCTCTGAACTCTCTCCTGCTGCATCACGGTTAGACTTGGCCACAGCTGACGGCCAGCGTCTTAGACGCACAATGGCCCCAGATGCCTCCCTCGGTGGCTCACCTCCCACGCAAGGCGGGCTCCTTACCGTCAAGCTCCTCCACAGAGATGTTAGCCAGCTGCTCGCTGTCGCTGCCAGCAGACAGAGATCGGTTGAGGTAATTCCCCTTGTACAACAGGCCGGCCGTCACGTGGTGAAAAGGCATCTTCTCCCTGCTCACAAGAGACAGGGGGCAGGGGAAAGAAAGACATCATCATCCGTTCCTCCTTTCCTTCCCTGAAGGACCACCCTGGTGTTCAGATGGCCAGGAGTATTTTTTAAATAACAAGAACATTGGTAGAGGGAAAGTCAGAGAATTCCAAGGTCCCCGCGGCCAGAGCAATTCCCGAAGGATCCCAAGTTCTGTCCCTTCCTTCATTGTACGTCTTCCTTCATTCTCCCCATTTAATGAGGAACTTGAGCCATGTGGTCCTGGCAGACTGTGGGATACCCTGGCATCACCCAACTGTCTCTCCATGCAAACAAGGATACTCTCTGCTCCTTTCCCTGGTCTGATAAAAGCTTCCTCCATCCTCCTAGGAAAGGACTGCACACCCCGAAATGTGAGGCTGCCCAGTGACCATATGTCTTAGCCGTGACTGTGTGGAAATCCAACTTTTGCTTTTTGCTTTCCCAGGTAAAGCAGGTTCTGCACTTACACTGCACTCAAAGCAGGTCGGAAATGCCAGACTCTGAGTAAACACAGACCACAGTCTGTACCTCTGAGAAGGAGCCCTGTACCTGCCTGCACGAGTGGCTCATGAGTGTAGCCCTCTGAGACACCAATCACACCTGCCCTGCAGGAAAGGTGGGCAGCATCTCAAGGTGTCCCCAAACAAAGCAGCTTCCAGCATGCTCACAGGAAATGAAAGCATCGCATCCCCTTAGACCAGATGAACAAACCCTCCAAGCTCCTCGTACCAGAGCACCACCCCTGGGACTTTGAAGTTCCCACCAGTGCAAGGCGGGCCAGAGGCTCCAGACTAAGGTGAAAGGGAGGGAGGAGAGACACAGTTAGAAGGATGGGTCTCTCACAGCAGGGAGGTTCCTCAGAAAACTAGAGTTGCCATATGGTCCAGCAATCCCACTCCTGGGCATATATGCAGACAAAACTCTTAATTCAAAAAGATACATGCACCCCTATGTTCATAGCAACACTATTCACAATAGCCAAGACATGGAAACAACCTAAATGTCCATCAACAGATGAATGGATAAAGATGTGGCACATATATACAATGGAATACTACTCAGCCGTAAAAAAGAATGGAATAATGCCATTTGCAGCAACATGGATAGACCAAGACATTATCATACTAAGCGAAGTAAGTCAGAAACAGGAAGACAAACATCACATGATATCACTTATATGTGGAATCTAAAATAGAACATAGATGAACTGATCTACAAAACAGAAACAGACTCACAGACATAGAGAACAGACTTGTGGTTGCCAAGGGCGGGGGGACAGGGGAGGGTTGGACTGGGAGTTTGGGATGCAAACTATTATATATTGAACAGATAAAAAACAAGGTCTTCTAGGGGCAGGACAGGAATAAAGACGCAGACATAGAGAATGGACTTGAGGACACAAGGAGGGGGAAGGGTAAGATGGGACAAAGTGAGAGAGTGGCATGGACATATATACACTACCAAACGTAAAATAGATAGCTAGTGGGAAGCAGCCACATAGCACAAGGAGATCAGCTCGGTGCTTTCTGACCACCTAGAGGGGTGGGATAGGGAAGGTGGGAGGGAGACGCAAGAGGGAGGAGATAGGGGGATATACGTATATGTATAGCTGATTCACTTTGTTATAAAGCAGAAACTAACACACCATTGTAAAGCAATTATACTCCAATAAAGATGTTAAAAAAAAACAAGGTCTTATTTTTTTAGCACAGGGAACTATATTCAATATCCTATAATAAACCATAATGGAAAAGAATATGAAAAAAGAGAGAGAGAGAGAAAGTTGGATCTCTCCATAGGGGAAAGAGCAAGCTCTGTTATAGTGAGTGAGCCATGGGGCATATCCGGTTCTGCTTCTCCATCTGCAAAGGGGCCTAAGAGGATTGAGAAGCCTCTGAGCAGAATTAGGGAATTGGCAGGCAGGAGGGGGAGTCAATTCTAGGGTGTGGGTAGGGAACACCCTTTTAACAGAGCTCCAGGAAGGTAAACTGGGCAGCACCAGAAGGGGTAATCTCCCCACCAATGGGGGCATACAAGCAGAGGCTGAGGGCCTCCCTGACAGGGGTTCTGTGGGAGAGAATCGGCCCCTGTGCTCTCTCCCCACACACCTATCATTCTCCATGTGAGTCCCCCATAGGGTCCCTTTGGGCACTAAAGTTTGTGTCTGTACATTAAGCTGGAGTGGTCCTAGCGGCCCCTCCGGGCACTGCTGAGTAACAAGGTGTAAATTACAGGAAGAGACAGCAACAGAAGGCCAGTCTCTGGGGATGACTGCTCAGGGCTTCAGGGTTCCCAAACTTTGCCATCCCTCAAGCCACACTCATGATAGCAACTGGCCCTGATGAAGGATGTTTGGAGGGGGGCGGGGGCCCCTGTCTTCTTTTCCCTGTGACACCACTGAGTGACAGGCCCGAGAGGACGCCCCTTCCTCTCTCTCCCTCCCAACTAGAGCTCACCCCAGCATGCCCCTGTATGGGCTGAGAGCTGCTGACTTAGAGATCAAACCAAGAGACTCTTCAAAGTTACAGGGCTTGACCAAGAGCAGGACGCCAGTTAGTGAAAGAATCCGATCTAGAACACAGGCCACCTAAGCTCTCTTTCAACCAAGCAGCCTCAGCTCAGCACCAGACATTTCCACCTGGGTGTCACACTCTCATTTCAAACTCAAGATGTAGAAAAATGAACTAATTATCTTCCTAAAAAATAGGCCACACTTCCTGATTTCTCTATTTCTATCAAAGGTACTTTTCTCTCATCATAACAACTGGGGCAACTCTCACAAACGTTCTGGGCCCCAAACACATGGCAGAGGCAAGAGCCAGCCGCCAGCCTCCAACCCAGTCTTAACTCTTTCCACAGCTAACAAAACGTACATACATCCACGGGCCAATTGCAAGTGACGGGGGGGGGGGGGGGGGTTGGTTCCAGAGTACGCATGCCTTGGCCAGTTATAAGGGGCACATATTCAGCGAACTATTGATATAAGTCAGACCTTCCCCCTCCCCCTCCTGGCCAAATCCATCCTTATACATAAATAGGCGAGAACCTTTCTTTGGAAGAAGACTTCAATTACCATCTCCTCTTTTCTCAAAGTTAAATTTCAGACCAAACAGGTTTAAAGGTGAGAATCAGATGCACGAGCTAGGACTGCTCTCCCTTTCCTAAGGCCAGTCCTAATTTGGGGCGCCATGTGTGGCCATGGTCATTTCAGCCTGGACAGATTCCCATGGTCCAGGGGATGAGACATTAACAATGGCTAACGCTTCCCTCTCAGCACTGGCCCCGGGACCCAGTAGTCTCACCAGCTGTTATTTTTAACCATCATTTAAAGCCTTCCTAAACATGGGGAAATACCCACACAGATCTTCTCTAATTTTGCCACCCGGAGGGAGGCCCCCCCTCAGGTCGATACAGGCCCGGAAGGCATTTCTCCCCATTTCACCACTCATCACTCTAGTTTCTCAGCATTTTATAAATAGCTTCCCATTACCACCTTTTACTTGGTTGCCTGAAGCTCTGGACCGGCCACACACACATTTTTACAGCCGCGGTAACAAGGTTATACTCAAACACGCGTGTCCAAGCCACGTTCGGGCACAGAAGAAACGCTGAGTACTTTGCAGAAAAAACTGGTCACAACTGAGTCCCACTTGAAAGACCAGCATAATTGCTTCTGGAAAAAGCAGCTTACAAAATTAGGTACGTATTCAGTTCATTCACCCCAAATGCTCATAGTCTAGTGGGAAAGAAAACACGTGCAATTGAACCAGCCATATAGATAAATAAAGTCATGTTCAAAAAAAGGAAGAGCATTATACCAAGTAAGCTAAAAACAGCTGCTGCAATTAAGGACTAAATTTCACTCCAAGCCACCTGGGGAAACCCAAGCTTTAAGATCCTGGCTTTGGCTATGGAAGGGAAATGTACAAGTTCGCCAGCAAAGGAAAACACAGTCCTGAGCTAAAACTTAAGAGATGGATCCTTACATGGTGGGCAATGAATATATATATATATTTCTTTTCAACAGCCATTTTACTCATTGAGAAATATTATTTAAGTGACTGTTTACCATGTGAACAATCCTTCTGTATTTTCTGTAAGGCAGTATGGTTTCCTGGCTAAGAATCAGGGCTTTCTGGTCAAAAGCAGTGTTAGATTTAAATCCTAGCTCTGCTCTGATTAGCCATGTAGGTAAATTAATTAACCTCTGTAAGCCTCAGTCTCCTCCTCTGTAAAACTGGGGTTTGGAAACATACTGAATAGTATTTTTGTAACTATGAAATAAGATAAGGTATGGAAAGCACTTGACTTAGCATCAGGTATGTTCTCAATAAACATCATCAGTAATACTTTGCTAAGGATTACATGAAGTAGGAGGCAGGGCAAAAGAAATTCATGATGTGTTAGGTGGAAGATAAAACACACCGTGTTTTGAAGGAGGGTCAGGAACGACCTGGCAAAGGGTGAGTTTCAGAGAAGAGCTGGCTGGCATTGCACACTAAGGTGCCAAGGGATCCAGAATGTCAGCAACAGAGCACTGGGGGCCCCAGCGCTGAGCGGTGTCAGCAAGCAGCTGACTGTATCAGGAGGAGGGGGCTATTTGAATGAAAAGCACCAGAGCTGAAAAAGAGTCTATTTCCTGGGTATCACCTGGCATCATGGTCACATCAAGGACAAGATGTCAGCAGGTTAAAAACAAAGGGGTGGGTTCCTGTTTTCAGTGTCGAAGAACTGGTACATTTCTTGGCAAAGTAATAAACCAAAGACAACACTCCCATTTACCATGGCAACAAAAAGAATAAAATATCTAGGAATAAATCTACCTAAGGAGACAAAAGACCTATATGCAAAAAATTATAAGACACTGATGAAAGAAATTAAAGATGATACAAATAGACGGAGAGATTATACCATGCTCTTGGATTGGAAGAATCAACACTGTGAAAATGACTATATTACCCAAAGCAATCTGCAGAT